AGGGAGGGCTAGGAATGGGGAAAAAATAAGAACCAAGATGCATCATGTAAACGTACAATTCCCAATGAGAAATGTAATTGTGTTGTATACCTACAATGTACCAATAAAAGAATTTAAGGGAAAAAAAAGGAAAATGTAAACAATTGTGAAGATTATTTTCTCTTTGGAAATTAATAAAACTCACCAACCTAAGACTACTAGGAACATAACTATACTAAATAATTAGATTTATTCTACTGCAGCAAGTGAAAAACCATTCCAGCAGAACCATTGATGAACTCAAAAGGGAGGGCTTTGTTATTCACGCAATGATTTTAGGGAAGGATTGTGGTAGTCTGGAGGAATTCCAGATTGTATGCTAAAAAATGTAGGCAGTTATGGATGGTATCTTTTTAAATATCAGAAATATGAGTACATACATAGCCTGGTTAACATCAATAAAGAACTAACAATTACTCATGTTATTGGAAGAATTAAATCTCATTGGCTTCTCTTTATCTTGATTCAGACTTTGCCACAGGATGGTCTGTGTATTGCTTATATTCAACAATAGGTCTTATGCTCAAATGGGAGCAACATGTATTAATTGCTGGTGAGATTTAAAAAAACTCTGTCACTATACTCGTTTGTCCAACATCAATGAGACCAACCTCCAAAAATTCATTTGTGTGTTCCGATTAAATGATTGTCAGAATGAATGTTATTGATTAGGAGGTTGTTCAGAAAACAGCCTGTAGTTAGTCTTGAAATATTTCTTTTGTTAAAAATATTCTGTTGAATAATGTGATAATGGCTATCAAGTAGTAATTAAAACTCTAGATTTGGGGCATTGAACCAATGCAATACCCATATCTCAGAGATGTAATGTTAAACTAAACTCAAAATGTAGAAAAGTGACATGACATAAAACCATTTATATAAGCTTAAACTATACTAACCAATAAGATATATTATTTAGAATCCATATATGTAGTAATAGTATAAAACCATAAATAGTTTTGGGAATGATGCAATTGATTTCTGAAGGATGCAAATACCACATGGGAAAGCCACAAAGAAGGCTTTCTGCTTTTGTTAATATTTTATTTCTTAATATCAATTCCATATGCCTGGATTTTGCTGTATGTTTTTATGAATTTTGTTTTAATGAAGTAGATTACATAAAAGTTAGATTTGGTATGAAAATATGATAATTGATATGATAAATATATATGTATTTATTTTACATAATATCTGTACAATCTTCCCATTTTATAATATTATCTTTTTAATATAATTTATGTGCATATAAATGGGCTTTTGTATTGACACAGTTCCTTTCAAATAATCTGTCTACTCATGCATAACCTTATTGTTTAATAATACTAACAATAGTTCTATAATTTATCATTTTGGTAGATCAAACACTCCTTTATCATTGGTTTATCTTTAGATACTTGTTCTTTGTATTGGATTTAATTATAAAAATTATGTGAAGAGTCTATAAACATGAATTATTAATATTAGTCTGGATTTCTCCTGAATTTTAAAAATTCATAAAGTAGTAATAGCCTCCCCACATGGTTGGGTTTTGAACATCTATATATACAGGAAAAAAAAAAAACGAGTAAAAGATAATGAGGTAGGATACATGTTTTAGTTTATTTTTAAATGAATTTATTTATTTGCTAACTTATCCATTCATTTATATTATGAATGTTATATTTATTCATTACTTAGTATATGCCTACTCCATACCAAACATGACAGAAGAGATTGTAATATAAGATTTGGGGAAATAGCAGACTCAGTGAGAGAGGTCAAGAAAGGATTATTTTTGGTTACTACCTACTATTGTTACCTACCTGCCATTGTCACCTGTCAGGACCACCTTGGAACCAAGAGGAAAGACATGACAGAATCCCAGATCTCTGAATGTTGTTAGAGGCATGGCTTCCTTCAGAGGAAAGCTATATACCTGCTGTGAGTTTGTGTCTATACTAAAGTGTATCTACACTTGTCTATTTAAGGACCTTTCCATGGATGTATTATTTTCATAGGCCGTTTAATTTGCCATTCACTTTCCTCTGCTCTTGCTTTCCTCTTACCCAACTCTCACCAGTCTTTCTGCAGGGCCTGGCTATAGCAGAATTTGCACTACATCAGGAATTAGAATCTGGTTCTCAGAGTCATATTTCTATTGAGTTTTTCAGGGTTTGTGATTTTGTTTGGTCTTCTGCATTTTGCAGTGGTCTTGGTAAAGTGCTTTAAAAAATTTGAATACATTTGCTTCCTCTGAACTTATGTAAAAAACTATCTGCCCACAACTGGACCTAAAAGCTGGGGTGGGGATGGGGCCTGGAATGAAAGAGGCTGTGAGGACAGAGAGTGATGGACTACAGGCAATACCCTGGAGAGCATGAAAAGCCAAGCCACTGACCTGGGACAAAGGTTGGAAGGGAAAGACAGAGAGAGGGTAGAGACTATTATTATTATTATTATTATTATTATTACTATTATTATTATTATTATTTTGTTAGGGTGTTCATCAACAAGTGTAGTACCTCCTTTTCCTTCTTGGGCATGATTACTCCAGAAGTCAGTGTGTGATAAGAGGCACACATGGCCAGATGGTGACTATCATGACCCAAGCTCACATGTCTCTCATCTCAGAGAGTTTACCCATTGTTCCACCTCTGTGTCAAGAGAAGCTGCAATTTACTCATTCAAATAAATGTTGGATGCACTACACTATTATTAACTTTTTGTCTGCATTTAGGCATTTTTATTTAGGTTCCACATATAGGTGATATCACATAATATTTTTCCTTCTGTGCCTGGCTTATTTCACTTAGCAGAGTTTCTCATAAGTCCATCTGTGCTGTCACAAATGTCAAGATCTCCTCCTATTTTAGGGCTGATATTCTCTCTCTCTCTCTCTCTCTCTCTCTCTCTCGTTTATTTATTTGTCCACTGAATCAGCTTTGAATTTACCCCACTCTTTTCCAAGCTCCTCCAAAACTAGCAAACACTGAACATTTCGAGAATCTCTAAGATCAATTAGCCTCATCTCCTGGGAGTCCAGGAGACCTCCAGGGTCAGTTGTGTGTATAACGGTAGCAGTGGGTTGTGTATGTGGTGCAGAGTAGCAAAGAGCTAATCTTGACACCCTGAGAGACATTTCTTTGGTTATTTAAGGGGCTATGTTATGGATCCTGAGTGCCTGAGAGTGAGGAGAGGAGTGAAGAGATGCGGGACCATGAGCGTGCACATCCCTATGGATGTTTGCTGAAATATACCTTCAAATGCATGTCCCCGCTCACCTGAACACATCTGCAGCAGGTGTCCGGGACTACCTGCCCACTCTCCCACTGCCTCATTTTCAGGTGAGTGGTTCTCCATGAGGGTGAGGTTCGTGTTCACATGCTAGCAGGCTGTTCTCTGAGCTGCAGCTTTGCAGTACCCCACTGCCTACTTCACTCTTCATCACCGTGGCAAAGCTCTCATCAAAAAAGGTCCCCGCTCTCTCAAATCCTACATCTGCTAAAAATGTGCATTCTTTAACTTTTGAATGTAAGATTTTGTTATAATCTTTGAAGTTATCTTAATCAATTTTTTATATTTTTAACCATTTTTGTTTTGCAGACTTCAAATCATTTTTTTAGTGGAAACACATCTCTAAAATATATAAATGGGTTAAGATATTATTTATTAATAAATTAATTTGTATTTAATAAAAATATTTATTATAAAATATATTCTCATAGATATTGATGGTGTTATACTACATTATTACCACTGTCCAATTACAGTATATTATTGTACTATATGTACAATTATGATTTCAGAATCATTTTTGTGTATCTTAGTGTTCCAATCTTTATTTTCCAGTTTGGAACTCTTGAATTTTTAAATTGAAGCTCAGACAGTTTCTTCTGTTCCCCCCAGGTACTTCATGAGGGTGCCACCATGACCACTTGCAATGCCACTGGCCACCCATCTTTCTTCATTCTCCAAGGCATCCCCGGGATGGAAGACAAACACAGATGGATCTCAATCCCCTTCTCCTCCATGTACTTCATCACTGTGCTGGGGAACTGCACCATCCTCTTCACCATCTCCACAGAGCGCTCCCTGCATAAGCCCATGTTCCTGCTCCTCTGCTTGCTGGCTCTCACTGACCTGGGCATGTCCACAACCACGGTTCCTAAGGCACTGTGCATCTTCTGGTTTGGCCAGAGTGAGATCAGCTATGAAGGCTGCCTGGTCCAGTTGTTCTTCATCCATTCCATTTCTGCCATGCAGTCAGCTGTCCTGACCACCATGGCCTTTGACCGCTATGTGGCCATCTGCAAGCCCCTGCACTATGCCACCATCCTTTCCAACAGCCGCATTGGGCTCCTCGGCCTAGTGAGCTTGGTGAGAGCCACCCTCTTTATTCTCCCCATGCCCATCCTCCTCCAGCATGAGGCCTTTCATGCCAACCATGCCATTCAAACCACCTACTGTGAGCACATGGCCGTGGTGAAGACGGTGTGTGTGGACACCACAGTCAACCGGACGTACGGCCTGGCGGTGGCTTTGCTGGTTGTTGCCCTAGACATCTCGGCCATTGCTTCCTCTTATGCGCTAGTCATCCAGGCTATAATGCGCCTCTCTTCTAAAGAAGCCCACCACAAAGCAGTCAATACCTGTACCACACATATCTGTGTCATGCTGATCTCTTACACTCCCTCACTTTTCTCTTTTCTTACTCATCGCTTTGGCAGAGGCATTCCACCCCATGTCCACACGATTCTTGGCAACCTCTACTTTCTTGTACCTCCAATGCTCAATCCTATTATTTATGGAGTAAAAACAAAGGAATTTTGGAACCAAGTGACCAAATATGGTTTCTGGATGAAGGGGCCTATAACCATTTCCCATAGTCAGAAACTTGTTTGATAATCCAGCAACTGTGAATATAAGAAGAAATGTTTAGTGCATACAGTTTTGGGGAAATTTGTCCCTTGGTAGAAATATGTCATGCTGACAGATTTGGCATCAAAATGTTTATTTTTGGACAAAGAAGCTAACACCTAAGAACTTTTTGTCTTATTAATTCCAAAGCAAGGCACTTGTCCTCTGTCAAATAAAATAATGGCACTTGTTCTCTATATCTGGTTAGGCAAATTATGCATGATAATGTATCTAAAAGTACTTCAAAAAACAACATGCCATGTATGATCAACCAGAATGTTCCCATATGAAGAGAAGAGAAAATGTAAGAGCAAACAGTAACTTGCCTACCACCAGGGAGTAGCAGAAAACTACTGACTTTCCAAGGCAAGGCCAAGGTGCATGTCATTATGGATGTGTATTTGCATTTGTGTGTTCAAGGGTAGGGTGAGAGGTGGAGAAGATTTTTTCTAGGGACTGAGAAGGGACAGAAAATTTTCAAAATTTAATTTAGAATCACTTATTATTACCCCCACTGCCAAAGCTTTATAAATAGGCAGCAGGACTTGCTGCTTTCTTATAAGTCCAAAGACTATGTATAGGAAACCATCTCCAATTTCCAGAGAAACTTCAGAGGAAAAAGGAACAATGGTCAACGCTTAGGTTTAGAAGTTTAACATGAATCTTAACTAAATTCATACTTGCAAAAACTCCTAGAGTCAACTCTTCTGCTTGTCACAATTCCAGCATCTGAGAAGACTCTCCTGTTTAAATTTGTTAAAAAAAAATTTAATTTGTACATGTTTGTAGTTCAAGTAGTTTACAGTCGTCTTGGGAAATGGTTACATGTAGATATTAGAGCTTGTTTCTTTTTTGTTTTTATCCTCTTCCCCATCCCTCCCCCATTGCCCTCGTCCTGCAGGTCCCCTATCCTGCTTTTCATTCTCGTTTACATTATTTCCCTTAGCTCATGTTATGACCTATAAAGTTTACACTAATTGGGGTTAGTTATTAGGCTCCTGTACATGGCATATCTTCATTCTTTTTATTTCCTCTTCCCCTCCTCCTCACCCTTTGCCCTTGTTCCCTTGGACCACCTAAGACTCTCCTGTTAAAAGATAGCTACGAGAATGTTCTGTTAAGGGACATAGTTATAAAAGTCAGTTTTGTACTGGAAGTTATTATGAAATAATTTGTGTAAAGATTGTTAATGTAACATCTTAAGTGACTGAGCACAAGACCAAGCCTTTCTTTGGGATTAATAGAGGATTCACCTCTTTAACTCACTATACAGAATTATTTATTTTTTAATTTCCAAATTTTAGTACCAAATCAACATTAATCTTTATTAAGAAAAATCAATTTCCACAATTACTGCTAATTAGGTGACTTTAGAAGAAATTCTTTAAAAGATGTTTTAAAGACTAGCAGAAGAGTGTTAGGTAAGATGATGGGAATCAAGAGGCAGGGAGCAAAGGGAGAGGGGATTATAGTATGTAATGTGCCTGTACTGTATAAGTATCTCTGAATGAAACCCACTATTCTGCATAACTAATATGCACTGCTAAAAAGAAATAAAAATAAAAGACTCCTAAAAACAGAAGATCTTCTATAGATGTGCATAGTTCTCAATCTTTACTTTTTTGAGTCATTATTCATGCAGAACTAAATCAGAATACTGTTCTTATTATTTTGCTATTGATTTGTTGTTGCTGTTGGTGTGGTTGAAGAAACATGTTTATCTGATAAAGCAGGCAAGTGTGATAGAACAAATAATGGGATAAAAAATCTTCCTTCTGTTTCTGCATAGCTATGCAGTATTTTGTAGTTTTATGGGAATAGCTACAGATTTCTTTCTTTTAAAAATATGAGGACAGAGGGCAGATATTGAATACAGTGAAGCTCATTTAAATAGTTAATATAATAAGAATGGGGAGCGTAGGTAGGGAGGTCATGCAAAGTGCCACTGAGTGTCGTGGAAGAAAACCTCATCAGAGTTCAGAGGATTTTAATGTGAACTGGGCACAATCGATATGTCAAAAAGTTGCAGACCTATCTCATAAACAGTCCAAATACGGGTAAACTATACTTTGAATATATACCTGGAATTTGATCACAGAAAGTTTAAGCAATAGTTGAAAAATGACAAAAGAAAAATGTTTCAATTTGTATCAAGTCTCCTTCCATCTCATTTAATTTGAATTGTCTGCCATTTGTTTAAATATTAATGGTAAAATAAATTAATTTTGTTTTACATGTTTTTGTCTGTATGTTGTATGCCATTTGTTATTCCCTATGTCATATGTTATTTTCCAATAACAGAAAGTATTGTGACACTCTTGCCTACTCTAATGCAACTTCTTTAGTTAATCTGAAATTCTAAAAACTGGGACAGAGATATTAACATCAGAGTAAATGTTACAGCTTCTTTAAGCTACATCACTACAAATTTGAAGACTGAATATTTTAATTTTCAGCAAGTTGCTAAGGGAGAACTTAAGGAAAAAATGCATCCTTGACATAATATCATTATTTTTATATCTATATTGTGGAACAAGATGTATAATAAACATCAGTAGAAAAAAATTGTACTTTCAACTTACATGAATGGAAAAACAATTATTTTATTTTTTTGTTTATTTAATAATGTCTTTTAGTGACTGTTCTGTATCAGCATGAAGATCTTATTTTTCAAAAGTTTTATAGCATTCCATAGTAAGTTTGTCAACAGTAATTTAAACAATCACCTTTTGATGGGCAGATGTTTGTTTCAGCTTTTATTGTTTAAAAAACTGCATATGACTTCTGTTACTTTGACTATCTATTCATTGTTTGCACAAAGTAACCATTCCTGAAGAATAAATATGTCAAAACAGTTATTAAATAAGAAACTAAATACAGTTTTTAAGTTTCTTTTTCTTTTTTTCCTTTGTGGTGCTGGGGATGGAATTCAGGGTTTCCACACGTTAACCAAGCCCTCTTCCACTGAGTTACCTCTCCAGGTTTTTCTTTTCTCTTGTAGCAGTTTTGCCCAATTATCAAAATATGCAACTTTAAAAGTACCAATTTAAATATAATGTGTAGAATGCCAACATCTCACCAGATCATGACTGGTAATATTTTAACATGTGCATTAACTCAGAGTTGATGTATCAAATTGCTACAAATTAAGTAGCTTAAAACAATGGAATTTTTTTCTTATAGTTCTGTAGATGACAAGTCCAAAATCAAGTCATTAGTAAGGCCATGGACACACTGGAGGCTGTAAAGGAGAATCTTTCCTTGCCTCCCTCCTGGCTTCTGATGGCTGCTGACCATCCTTGACATCCCTTGCTTTGAAAGCACAGTGCTTTAATTTCTGTCTCAGTTATCTCATAGCATCCTTCCTGTTCATCTCTTCACATCTTCTCTTTGTCTGTGTCCAAATATCCCTTTTCTCATAAGGAGACCAGTCATCAAGTTAAGTCACACCCTAATCTAGTATAATTCCATTTTAACTTGATTACAACTGTGAAGATCTTATTTATTAATAAGGTTACATTCTGAAGTTCTGGGTGAACATGAATTTTGGAGATGTGCTATTCAATCTAATAAAACATGTATCTGTCCAGACATGTTTATTGTGCTAACAAAATTCTACAAGTCTTATCACTTAAAAGGGAATCATGTTTATATATACTATTTTGTAGTTTATTATTTAACCTAATATTATTTGACAATAATCCATGATAGTATATCTCCTATAGTTTCATCTCATTTTTTTAAAAAAGCTGTTTCTTAGTATTTTTCAACTAATCCTGTATTAATAGACACTTAGGTTGATCCTAATTATTCATTTTTATAAATGATGTTGTGGGATTAGAAAAGTTTTTTTTTTAAATTGTTTTATTGGTAGATTTTAGGTATACAACACAATTACATTTCTCATTGGGAACTTATAACTTTACATGATGCATCTTGGTTCTTATTTTTTCCCCATTCCTAGCCCTCCCTTCAC